ATATACATACCTCAGAACTTCACAGCAAAGACTAAAAGACATGTATGGCTTTTTGAAATATACATTTGTAATCTTTAAATGGCCTAATTGAATCGATTGAACTGGTATTGTTGGTCACAATTCGAAAGAAATTGTATTAATGTTAACGAGTTTTTACATTAAGAGGAAGTAGGGCTGCTGAACCCATTCATGTAATTACTGATAATTGGTCGGTTGGAGAGAATAGCTTATTAATATTTAGAGTACGCTTTCTGTTCTAAGCTTCTGTGTGACGTGGAATTTTCGGCGTCGGCAGGAGCCCGGCTGATGTGAGAGAAATCTGTCATGTGGGGTGTGTGTCGGAAAAGTAGACTACGAGTAGTCCCTAAATTTCCTCAGAGAGAAACGCGAGGGCGCGTGAAAATCACCCCGCGTGAGAAAGGCGAGACGCGGCGTGATTTTCACGCGCGCGCGTTTCGCTCTTTCTACTAGCCGTGAGGAAAATCGGGGACAACTCGTGGTCTATGGAAAAGCAGTATCGAGTATCGGGGATGACGACTAGGGTTATGGGCTCCTGATCGGGGATCGGGGATTGTTTTTTCGTCTTTGCTTTTTTAAAATTAGTTCAGCACTGTGTTGAGGTCTGCCGTAGTGTACCAGACTTAAAAATTAGTTTGTGGTAACTTGTCAGTTGAAAACCAGCGATTGTTTCACATTATTGTAAAGTTAAGTCGAGTGGCTTTTCCCTGCTGATTTTTTTCTTACTCTCTGTTGCAAACCCAAAAGCTGGAACATAGAGGTCACGATTATAAGACAGCTAGAAGATTTTTTGTGGCATTATCATTTCTTCTCTCTCGTCTCTCTCTGTCGCTCTTTATGATATTTTGTGTAAATACTCCTGAAGTGTTTATCAATTCCAACTCACGATTAATTGGTTAAGTTGTGGCCGGTCTATTCCGTCCTTAGCAAAACTCGCGCTTAGCTAAGTACGAATGATGAACTTGTGACAGGGGTAACCAAAATATTTTACCTCTGTTAAGGAAGCGATGGAATACAAACTTGAACGCTTGAACACAACTTTAATTTAATCCGCTCGATTTATAATACACACCGATTTACAACAGGTTGATGTACTGCCCGGGAACCCGACTTACAACAAATCTACGAGCGACTAGCAAGGAAGTCACGTGACGTGTTATCTACATAATTTATTCTACTCTCACAGGTCCAGTCTCGCGGGGCTTTTAATGACCCGAGTACGAGTACGACGATGGGCCGTAACATTCTCCCCACCTTGTCCTCCTTCGGGGAGGACAACTCTCTTCTTAGGCTTACGAATAGGTACACTTTTAACATTAACAGAGTTCGCTCGCGGCTTCTCCCCACCGTCAACAGGAACATCAGCTTCACGGGTAACTTGTGGGGCCGCTGCATCAATTTCCAATCTGTGTAAGCGTTGAACAGGCCTGTTGAATACACCTTTCTGTGCTTTCACGGTAGCCGTTCGCACGAGTCCGTCCTTACCAGGATGAACCTTTTCCACCCTGGCCATTGGCCACTTGGTACGCGATACATTATCATCTGAGACCAATACGATATCACCTTCTCGAATGGAGGGGTTTTCCTCTTGCCATTTACTTCTCACGGACAGAAGGTGCAGATATTCTCGTTGCCAACGTTTCCAATAGTGGTTAAGTAGTCTCTGTAGGTAAAGATACCTTTCGACAGTTCTTTTACTAGACTCCTCCAAGTTTTCTTCTTTACTCTCAGGTAACTGGTTAATTGGTCTACCAATTGCAAGATGAGCAGGTGTAACCGGCAAAGGGTCTCTGCAATCGTCGCTCACTGCCGTTAATGGTCGCGAGTTGATGATGCCTTCAATTCGAATTAATAATGTGTTCAACTCAGAAAAGGTGAGAAGTGCCTTTCCAAGCACTTTACGCAATGATTCTTTGATTGCTCTG